AATACTTACTCTAGTCGTTAGTCTCATCAATGGACAGCAGATGGCCTATTGTGACTCTTTCTTTACAGTATCCTGTTGAAAATAAACACCAGCGACACCCATGAGGAAAGAAGTCACACAATATAATCAAGAAAGACGGTAAGATTACAGGTCTTTTTGGAGTAAGCCAAGCCTACAAGCAACGGGAATCTTAGCAGTCAATGATCTCATCTCCCATGAAATGGTAGGGTAATTCTATCCATGTTAACAGTGCACAGCCCTTTGCGATGGCATACCCAGGGGAGTAGAATTAAATCGTTTACTGCCATTTCAACCTAATGAAAAGAGACAAAAAAGTTGGAATTGTACAAAAAGCGCCTTGAGCGATGTCTGTTGTTACAAGATTGATATAAGCTGGCAGACAGACAATAGATGGGAGAGGGGCTTGGCTATGTTTGGCTGGTTGGCAAACAATGCTAATCTGTCTCCTCCAATTACTGTCAGATAGCTAAAACCAAGTATTCTGCCCCTAACGCCCAATCCAGACTTTTAGGAAAATTAATCACTCTTGTCTCTCATCCAGGAATGTCCACTGGGAAATGACATTCGCCAAGCCATATTATCACAGCTACATGTACATGTATATGCCCATAAGACAAGGGCATCTTGATACCAGAGCACACACACAGCAATCTCCACAAGTTACTGGATCTGACCAGAGGGGGCCAGGAATACAGATGTGTGTGTATTCAGTATGTCAATGTAGCACAAATCAGAGGTACATTGAGAACCAAGCTGAGTAAAGGATGAACAAATCACATGTTCCTCTCACCATTATCAAATGGATAAGAAACTGACACTAAGCTGTGGAGTTGGCCTTACATCAAACTGGAATATCATTTAAAGCACTGGCTTTTGTTGAAGTTGTTATTTACCTTCATTCATTACTGGACTTGATTAATTTGAGTCCAACCTTTTTAAAGCTGATATTTAATGGTTTGAGGCTTGAATCCGCATCTGCTTCACCTAACAGTAAATTGATGATAAGTTGTTTTGAAGTCACACCAAATTTAAAGATAAAACTAGAGAGATTCGTGTGTGTTGGGTTACAAACGCTGGGTAATCGGGCCGAAAACCATTTCATAGGACATTGCCCGGTTGTGAACATTTTTTCCAGTAAAACCATTTGTTTTAGTTTGAACAAAAAGGGCATCTTTTAGGAAATGAGACATTTCAATACATTTTATGTACACGTACACATTATTTCCGGTTTGACGATGTCAGCAGTTGAAATGTGCAAACTGAATACTGATTGATTCAGAGAGGATACATCTTCATCATGAGGTGAAAAGAACTTCTGAATATATGCAAATTATAATAATGTTTAAGTGTATGTATTAACACCTGTCTTCCGTTTTCATGACATCACAACATTTTGAAGCCCAAGGTCAACATTGTACTGGGTATCATTATTTTGTGGTTCAAGCATTATTAGAAACGGACCAAATGGCGGATCTGAATTTTAAAGAAAAAAGCAAACTGAGTATTTTCATATTCTCCCTATCATAACTACCGGTGTGATGACGTCATGATTCTGAAACCTTGCAAAGTCACTTGCGGTTGTCCAAAGAATATCAAGTAGCAATTTTCAAAAAAATGTGCACTAACAAATTTTAAATTCAAGCAAGTTCAACTGTATTTGATGTGCCGCTAGAGGGCATCCTTTCGGGTGATGACGTCATCATGCCATGTTGGGCATAATTCCTCACTCAACACTTCCATAATCCATTTGTCAAGAGTAAAATGCTTCCGTTTTATATTGAAATTATATTCAAAACACCGGAAGTAAAGGTTTAAATGGCTTTGTGCCCGGTAATCTAAAATATTGCCTCAGGAAAATGCCAAACTGATCACAATGCATAAAAGCCTACGGCTTATAAGGAATAATGCAAATGTAGGAATTAGCAGGTAAGAGAGGGCCCGAAGTGGACTAGGCTATTCACATTTTGACCTCAAATCGATTAGGATTTAGATACCCGACGACGTAATAATGACGTCACATTTTTTTCACATCATCGGACCAGGGTGCAAGTTCATAATAGGTTTTATCATCATCCCTTGAATCAGTTGGAAGAAATTAGGTTCGTTTTGACTTTGAGGCTTCTGTCTGTATTTTGAATTCACCTAAATCTGACCTTTCGGTAGACCCGAAGTAAAGGTCAAGGGACCTCACGTACAGGACAACAAAATGTTTATCAATCAATGGTCAATCAGCTTGCAAAGTATGAAGATGATTTGTCACTTTTTTGGATTAGTTGTTATTAATACGTATCTTTTTGATTGTTATTGATAAGACACTAATTTCATTATGAACTATACTGTAAAAGTAAACAAATCTCCTCCCTGCTTAACAAACCTTCCAATGACTACTACCTGTACAGACCCTTATATGAACTCTGATGAGAACATCTCAGTGAGAAATATGACTACCAACAGTGTAGAAATTAATCATCAAATGTGTGCAACAAACGCAGACTAGGACCTGTTGTACTTGCTGACAATGATGTGTCAGTATGCTGTAACAATAGCTCAATTGTTTGAAGACAATGGCCACCCTTTATTGAAGGCAGACGACGACAAAATCGTCTGCACGATCCCCATGGCAATTACGTCCGTGAATAAAGCATCACATAACTGAAGTAGTGTTCAGTCAATAAGTGTTGCCATCGAAACGTCTGCAAGTTATAACGTCTCCAAGTTCTTCATTGTCCTCCATCAAGTGTTCAATAACTGCAATCTATTCCATTTGAGGTGAGGCTACGGATGAAAGGAGTCATGAATTGATGAAAACGACAACAAAAGAAAGTAAATTAAAAACCCATTCTATACTAGGAGCAATTACTGAAGGACTGACCGCACTTATACAACTCAGCTATAAGCCAATGGTTATGTACATGTATTTGTGAAATAGTCAGGGGGCTTGTGGTCCAAAATCAACTCCCAAATGCAATTTCGGGTACAATATGAGTCTAGCCTCTGTGATCTACTTTTTTTGTAATGATTTTACTTTTATTTTTTTGGCTGGAGTTGTATTTCTCTTTATGTTTTTGCTTGTTTTGTAACAATCATCATCAATTTTGTTCACATTTGCGGTTGTTACCTCATTTTAAGTTCAATGTGTCCCCCCCCCCTTTTCTGTTGCTGTATTAATCAGCAATGTCTTGTCTTATCATGTTTTTAATAGTAATGACAATAATTAATTTCTTAAGTCATCATTTGTACCTTTTAATTTACAATTTTGATGTATTGATTGCATGTTTAATACTTTTTAACTAAAATACCTGTTGTAAATTGGAATGTTTTCACCCTGTGGGCTGCCTTTAATTCAAATAAATAAACCATACTATATTTATCCCAAAAGTAACCTTTATTATCAAAAAGCAATTGCTTGGATAAAAGATCATACTGGTACTAAACACCCCGTGAAGTTCTAGAATAAAGAGTGCTATTTACGAACTAGTGTTTCGTGATCATATGGTTGCAAATGCTTTTTCACTGTATTCTCAAAAAGTCCACTGAGCTGAAACTTTAACAGGTTAGGTTTGCAACATTCTTCTTTGGATTTCAGGTCAGATTGTTGGGTTTGGACTTGTGCTGATGTGCCCCTATTTTAGAAAAACAGGTCTATGACCTACCTTAAAAGGGGAACAATATAAGTTGATTTGACATGTAGTTGTTCAATTTGTCACCATTCACCAATATTGAATGAGACCACACCAAGATTTTGCGGGGAAAAAAACACACTTTCTTTAAATGTGACCCCACCCTGAAAAGAGGCAAAATTCTTAACTATTTGCTCATGATGTTATACTTGGGCCGGCTCTTAAAATACCACATAAAAAAATGCCATTATCAAAATTGTTTTGGGGCACTATCCCCCCCCCCACCACACTTTTGATTACCATGGCCCTGTCCTGAAAGGGGTTTGAGAGTTGAAAGATTGTACTCAAAAATGCATATGGGCCACCACAAGCCCACTGACTAAATTAAAACATAACCATAATTAATATGAGGATTTAAGAACTTTCATACATTTTAATAGCAAGATGGCTGTCTTCCTAAAAACACAGTCTGTAATATTCACTGTATCCACAAAACCTGATTAATGTATATAGCCAACAACTGTCAATCACCTCCATTCAACTCTTAAAGTTAAACCTTACATTATTTGATCAATCGGCACAATACAAGAATGAAGCACCCCCTCTATAAATTGCACAGTTCAAAGCATGGTGCATGGCGAATTCAAAGTCAAACCTGACTTAGACCAACATAAATTCCACATCCAAGACATTGTAGAGGGTAGGATTGAAGGATGTTGCCTTGTGAACAGTGGGGATAAATACATGAGCATTCACTTGAAATTCAAAAGGGGTATTTAGGCATGTGAATAACTAGTTTTTGGTTCAGCCAATATGCACATTACCATGTCCAGAACAGAGGGCTCTCTGTCCAAATATCAAAACACATAATTCACAAGGAGTTACTGCTGCAGTGTCTTGCAGTTGTCACACTGTATTACACCCACCAAAAGAACCCTCTGGATAACATAAGAAAATATAAAACACATTTCTGGTCAAAGGAGGACTACCCATCACTAAAAAATATCCAAGCTTTTTGGGTAAAATGCTTGAGGCTGCAGCTCATGGTAAAGGACAGCAAAATGGTATGGAACTTAACCAAAGTGCTTCTGACTCAATTATAAGGCTGCACGTTAACTGGTGTTCCCTCATTAGATGGAAATTCAACATCCCCTTTAACGTGGTGACACACCAAATCAACTGGAATTTTGCCAACGGTTTCTAACCACTGCTTTCTCCCGGATAGTGATGTCATAACAACCACAGCAAGTACTGTATTGGTTCATCATCAACTTCACTCAAATTCTGAGACAAACATAAAATACAAGGGAAACTGAATGTATGGATATGACTTTGTGGCAATGGGTGGATAGTGGTTCCTCAGTGATCCAGTAACACTACGCTGGGTGACCTGTCATTTCAAAAAGATTACTGTTAGCCTTTTTGAAATATGCTGACCACAACAGGAGGGCGCTATGGGCTTGGGTCTGTTTACCCAAATCAGACCCACTCCAAATTGCACCCTCCTACTGTGGCCAAAAATATCTCCAAAAAAGACTAATGGCTTACATTATGATGCTAATTTGGCGATGTCAGTAGGACTCATGTGATATTAAGAGCATAAATATCTGTAAACATTTTACTCACACTATACACTGTACAGACTTTAATGGTTTTATGATACTAAACACTGATTATTGAGGCTTCTATTATGCCTGCATGTCCTTGGACAGTGTACTATGACTTACCCAACCAGGAGGAGGAAATGGATAGGTCTGTGGGCTGAGGTTGGCAATGTAAGACAAGGTGTGGGTGAGGGCTGGGGTTGGAGCTGTAAGTGCAGGTGGGGTTGTGGGCAGGGGTGTGGCTGTGGGCTGGCGTTGGGGCTGTAAGCCAGGGTGGAGCTGTGGGAGGGGTATGGCTCAGGGGCCGTGAGCCATGGTGGGGGTGTGGGAGGGGGTGTGGATATGGCCTTGGGTTTGGGATGTGAGGCGGGGAGGGGCTGTTGAAGGGGGTCTGGACTGTGAACTAGGTTGGTTGGGCTGAATTTGGGTGAGGGCTAAAGAAAAGGCTTTAAGCTGGGATGGGGGTAGTGGGATGGGGTTAGGGGCTATGAGCCTTGGTAAGGTGAGAGTCAGGGCTATTGATGACTTTGCCTGAAGTTCTACGAAAGTCACTGCCATGGAATTAAGTCTGTTCAAAGTTACAATGTCAGGAGTTTATGCTGATAGCTTTTAACACATATACCATGAAAAGGTAGCATCTCTGGAAGTATATTTTACTTGTAACCTTCTTGGATGACAATGTGGCACTCGGATTGCAAGGCCAGGATAAGCATATCTGAAACTGGGAATTCTCGGCAGATCATGAACTTGTACAATATGTTTTCTTTTTACAAGTAGTTCATTGGCATTTGTTTCTCTTAAATGCCACAGAATTGATTCCTCTCTAGGATAAACGCTGAATGGAAGACCACAGAAAAGCACTTTGCACAGTTAGAAATCCATCCTTGATCTATCAAGGCAGGTTGCACTGTCAAGTACAGCCACTTATTTGGGTTCTAATGTAATAACTTAGCAACTTATACTTCACTACTAAGTGAACGATCCTTATCTTAAAAAAAAAATTTTTATTAAAATAACTAAATGGAACACAGTGACTGAGCTGTCTGTTAAGCCTGACAGAAAGGTCTGGTCAGTCCCAGAATCGGAATTCTTAACAACTTCCCCTCCCCAGAAATGGTTGCTAAATATGAAGAGATGAAAGAGTGTATGACATTCAGGCAGAACACACCATCAATTATAAGTTGTTAGCAACATTGCAACAAGATGTACAGAGTATCAATTGCAAAACTAATTGTAAAATTGAGCCTTCCATGATGAGAAGGGAAATCGCTGTCGGCGTCCAGTCAGTCCATGTTTTTCTCAGTTGTACACAAGCACACAATGGTTGTCACAAAAGATGGATTGGCCCACAAAGATATTTCCGTTTGCGAACAAAGCAGTTGTGTCTCTGCCCTAGTGTGATAATACCCTTGCGTGTGATATGCTTCAATGTGTACGACGCAAACAACTTTTGTGCCATTGAAGGTAATTATAATAGCATTTTATGGCCCATTCAAACTTCTACTTTTTCAAAAGAGTTCCGTAAAAAAAGGCCTTGACTGTTTGGGGTGAACACTGAAGTTGCCTGCCAACTAAAGAATAGAGTGATGCCTTAATATTGTTCCCCTAGGTTGCCCAATTCAGAATGAATACATATTATTACTATTGCCTAAAAAGGGCAAATTTGCACTACCTATAGATGGAAATAAATGGGACGTAAAAACCAGACAAAACTTGAAGCTTGTTTTTCTCTGAGGGGGGAGCCCCTCAGGCAATTGGTACAGGCAGGTGCAACAAGTTCAACCTTTCCTCTATAAAAATACAGAAACTTTGTTATTTCCATGAGCAGTGGTCCTTGACTGAACAAGTCAAAATCTTTAACTTGCTAAATATCTAATCGCCAACAGACTGCGACAGGCATGTATTGTCCATAAATCGATTCAAAGAGAACTTTATTCCTTTGCATTCATTTCCGAGTGAAACAGAATTGCTGACTCAGGCAAGCCTGCCAAACAATGTTTTGTTCTAATGAATAGAAGAAAAATTGTCTGTGGGGTGTGCCATTGTCCACCTAAACAGAAAGCAAGTTAGCTGTAAACAGATTAAACCTTTTCCGGCCTAAGCTATGCTTTTGTTGCTGTCATAATAGCCATGGTGCTAAAAAAAATCAGCAGTTTGAATGAAATTTGTTCTGAAAGAATGTGTTTATCTGTAAAGATTTGTCAACCATGAAAAATAAAAGTACTTATATCAACAATTTACTTCCATTTTTTTACTTTAATAAGAGGTACATTAAATAATTTACATGTTGATTCTACTTTCTCATTCTGCATTCTCAAATGTACCCCTAATGTATTCCTTTTCAAAATTCAACAAAGAATTTTCAAAACAAATGAAAATCAAAGTTAGTTAATAGCTTTATATTTTTTTCTTATTTTTGGCCAAGCTAGCTAGCTAGCTTTGTTGCATGCTAGCTTACTTTGTTGCCCGATTGCCATTTTACTTGTTAGCTTTGGCGTGTATGTTGGTTGCTTGCCTGCCTGTTCGTATGCCTGCTTGCTGGTCCTACATGTGGACACATTTTAATGTTTAGTTGCAATTTATTGCTGTTTAGTTGGATGGCTTACACAGTGGCGTAGCACGGTAATTTTGATTGGGGGTAAAAGTTTTTTACGTTTTTTTCCCCGGACACTATGGGGCTATTAAGGGCGATACGTGCATCAAATTTAAAAAAAAAAAGCACCCGAACGGCTCCTGGCACAAAAAGGGCACCATTTGTTTTTAAAAAAGGGCACTTGTTCAGAAAAACAGGGTACTTCATAACAAAAGAGGGCACTCCTACACAAATATTTGGGGGGGGGGGGGGGGGGAGCGCAGGTGACAAAAGGGCATTTCAATGGAGAAGGGCAGTCTTTAGAAAATATTGGGGGGTAAATATGTTGTCTGCATCCTCCTTTCTTGATTGCGCTTACTTCTTTCTTTTTCTTATGCCAATAAACACTTCTGGTTTTTTTATTATCATATCAACAAACATCTTCCAAGTTGTACTTTCCAAATATAAATCCTCACATCTTATTGATCTTGTTTATTGGTTAATCTTTAAAGAAGGAATACCATTTTTTGATTGAAAATTTAATAGTAACGGGTACAAGACACTTCATGTGTATGAAACTAACATCCTACATTTTTCTTTGCAATCCACAGGTTTAGTGTTCATTTCATTTCTGGAGATTGTGAATGATGTCAAAAGTGTGTGGGTGTCAAGAAATGGATAACAAGCGACAGCAAAACAACTGCCCTGCCTATTTTATACAAAACAATATTGTGATGGTGAAAAAAAACAAGCACACCGAAAGGCTGGACCAATGGAGCTCTTTTGTTAGCCTAGGGGCTGGTGAATGCCTGGCTGAACACGCTACTTGTTGATGTTTTCAGCACCAATTGTACCTGAACAATACCAGGCAAGTCAAGCATAGAAGTGCAACACCATAGACAGACAATGGCAGTCCTACTGTGGGGGCTGGTTACTGGTGTCAACTACATGTACTACACACTGCCTCCAATTATTTAGACCAACGTGGAGGGCATACATGTTTGTGCACATCACTGATTGTTCTGCTCATATTGCCGTGTCTTAGATGGAGAATGCTTGTATTTAGAGTCGTTTAACCAACAACGAAGCAGATAACTTATCCAAAAGGGCTTCATATCAGATACTGACGCAGTAACACATAAATAATCATTCATGGAATTTGCGTTGGGGTGATGACAATTCAATTTTGGGTTTTTGCCCTTCACCGACCTATTTTATAAACACTGTACACTCACTGTCTTCCTGAGAGATTGTGAGAAAAAAATCACAAACTACTCGGGTGGGACTCGAACCCTAGACGTCCTTCTTACAAGTGCAGACGTCTTACCACTTGACCACCGAGCTTGCCCGGGTCAGCTGGCTGGTTCAAATCTGATGTAGCAGCGGGCAATGCAATGAAACTATAAGATGGAATTTGCATTGGGGTGATGTAAATTCAATATTAGGTTTTTGCCCTTCACCGACACATTTTTGTTTTATGAAATTTACTTCGCTTTTAGCTCCATGTTCACTGACTTGCATGCAGCTAGGTCAAATACAGTAAACTGTATTGTGTTCATTACCATCACATATACACTGACAATTCAAATGATTAAATAAGAGGTCTGAGTACCCAGTTGCAAATGTTGTTGATCCAACTGTAGTTACAATTGTCAATTCAAAAAAAAAAGTTTTGCAAATCCAAACAGATTGTTGGGATTACCACTGATTCTTGATTACTAAACCATCAGCTGTTTTATCTTGTCACTGTCACATCTATTGCCCTCCATTGATTCCCAGGTCCATCCAACCATTAAGGTGTAACAAGCTTGAGCATCTCCCACCTCAACATACACACAACGGCAAGTAAGCTTCAAGTTGCATTTAACAGGAAATAACTGCATGTGTGTGGTGCTGGTCCATGGATCATGTGTGTTCCGCCCCGTTTAAAGCAATGTACCCAGTTTGCTATGTGGAACAGCTTGCTAATCTAAATGATTCACAGTTCATAAGCATGATCACTATTTCACAGATGAATACCGATGCAATTGGTAATCATTGATCCCTAGCTGTGGAAATAAAAGCACAGTTCAATCATGATGGTATAATGATGCAATGGCCTGAACACAGTAAAACCTTTGCTTGATAACTTTTGCTCTTGTGCTTTACAACGTATGGCCAATGAGTATGTTCAGCGAAAGATTCAATGTGCAATAAGCTGAAGATTCAATGTGCTGTTACCTTTTATGTTTTAAAGGAGCACTTTTGTCTTGCTTACAACAACAAAAATAATTGGAAAGATTTTGTCTAATTTTCGTGTCAAATAATCTTGGGAACTCAAAAACTGAAGCATCAGAGCGCCAGTCTTTTACTTCAAGTGCACATACTCTCATTAGCATGGGACCTTGCTTCCCACAGTGAAGTATCACTTGCATGATATACATAATATGAGCCTTACTCAGACGTTGACGTTAATTCAATGGCTTCACAATCAGGGTTTTTCAACAGTTCTCAGTAAATGGAGGACATTATGTCCTTCAAAATATGGTTAGGAATCCCAAACAATTTCTGGCAATTTCTGGACTAAATACTTTTTAATTCTGATATCTGACTGATATTTTTTTGAAACTGAAATAATGTCAACAGCTATTCATAGGCTCGAAAGAAAGAAAGTTTAAACATTACATATATAGGCCTGTGAATCACCACTCACACTGTTATAACACACACAAGGTCTGGAAAACAGTCAAAACGAGAAGTGGAGAAATATTTGCACAATTATATCAAAAAACACTCAGTAGGCCCTCAAGGAAACAAATTGATAGTCATCTTTAATCATCGTCATGGTGATGATGATGCTTTATACAATCAGCAGTTCATCCCCAATTGTCTTTCCCCCTCTGGCTATCAGTGATGTGCAGGGCGATGAGGCAACCGTCTTAGGGAGAGCCGGTCTTTTGTCAAGAAGACTTGATCCAATTTACACCCTCTGATTCATCTGTTTTGGTATGTGGGCTTAAGAATCAATGGCAGCATTTCTGACTGCTCTTTTGAGTTTATAAAAGGATGCAATAACATTATGAAAGAAGACATGTTTTAGTTGGAGAATGAAGGAGAAAAAAGAGCGCAAACTAACCTGAGGTTTGTTGTCACATCAAACAT